GCCCAAGCATTGTAGCAAACTGTGCCGTGTACATCTAACGTTACATACCCCGCATTTTCACTTCGTACCGCTGGCTGGTACATTCCCACTACAAAAAAATCCTCTTGCAGCATTTATTAGGATTTAAATGTTTGCGTACCGCGTGCGGTCCTAGTCATGCAGACAAACAAACGACATAGTGTGTTTTTGTGTGGGGGGGGGGGCTGTTTGTGGGTGAGTGTGGGTGGGTGTGCACGTGTGTGTGTGCACGTGTGTGGGTGTGGGTGTGCACGTGTGTGGGTGTGTGCGTGCGTGTTTGTTTGTGTGTAAATCTAAATGTTAAATAACGTGAACCCAGACAATGAGAAAATTAGCCGGGTCCTTACATCTGCTTGAGGACTATATAATACATATCATCTTTGTAAGATCACATATGAACGTGTAGCGTTGCGTTTTGTAATAGTTGTCTCCAATTGCCATAAAAACATGATAATATGATATTCTAACTCACAGTTGATGTCTAAGATGGTCTCCCTGCCACTTCCATCACGACGAGCCCGGTGGATTTTGTCGTTCCGGTCATCTGACCAGTACACGTAGTCCGTGAGCGGGTCGTAGTCCAGGGCTAAGGGCTTTCCTACATCTCCGAGCGGAAGCGTGGTGGTCGAACCGGAAGGGATGTTAACTTGAAGAATGATTCCTCCATCCCTGTCAGTTACCAATAGGAATGGCTCACTGATGCGACTGGAGCCGGGGTCTCCTAAGGTGGAGAAAATATCCAAAGTATTAAAAAACTTTGGATAGATTTTTCGAACAATCGTGTCACGTCTTGAATTATCATCTTCTTTCGTACTTTCAAAAACTATTTGCTCATTTATCACGATCGCCAGGCAAAAGGAAGTGAAATATGGCGTGGCATTACGGTGATTTACTGCCACTATTTGGAACTCCGACCCGGAACCTTCCGATCTCCGCCAGGCAGATTCACAATGGAGCAAGTAGAAGACTATCGTATTTTCAGACATCGCTTTTCTCAAAACAGTTTTAACGGAAAGAAAAATCTGCTCTGGACTCTAGCTATGGATATGTGTTGTTCTCGTGGTTTCGCTGCTGCATACTTGCAGAACACGTTCTTAAAGTCAGTATCGATGCGCAGTAACGCCATCGGTTCCCCTGGGAAAACAGCATGGGTTTTTGGTTCGTCCCTTTAAACTAAAAGAAAGAATACGTCAGATTTTGACCTTGAATGATAAACCAGAGTTGTCACTTCCCGAATCAAACGTGTCCGACATCAAACTCTTCACTATTTCGCCGTGAATGGCCTATTATTAAGCACAACGCCACTCAAATGTGTGAAACACTGAATTCTCACGCGTAAGCAAAACACTATCTTGTTGATGCTGTCGTAGCTAGGAGCGAGCAGTTATAAAAAGCGCTACAAAGACGAGTGGAGTACTTACTAGGCTATCTCTGCACACCAACCAAAGAAAAGAAGACCGTGGTAGCAAGGACCCTTAATAGGATCAGGTTTCAAACTCGGAATATTAAGTTTTGCCTGAAGTGGGCTTAAAGAAATGTAATTTGGGCATAAAAACTCTAAAAGTATATATAAGTCAAGTTCAGAGGTCGCCTGAAATCATAAAACGCAGCACTGTTTGAAAAGTCAGATTTCCTCATGTTTCCAAGCTTGGACACGTCGGTGAAACCTGACGCGTCCTTTTCGTGTACTCGAAAAACCAAAGTACCAAACTCAATACCTACTGCAAAATCAAAACACAATTCTGTACGGAAAACTATCTCTTATCAATCCGAATCAAATCATTCAAATAGCATAACAAAACTTAGGATTAGTGCCCACTCTCTGTAAATTGAAAAAGGTAGCTACAGTAACACACCAGCCAATGAGAGACTGTGTCCCACATGCCATAAAGACGTTGAAAACGAATTCCATTTTAGATTGTCTAACTTATGATGTGGACAAACACAATTATTACAATATATTGCATGTAAGACCGATATAACGCTCCTCATACAAAGATAGCATGGGACCGCGCCCTTTTGTCCGACGACGTCTCTGCGTACATCACACGCTCATATGATTTCCAATAGAGACCGCGCCCTTTGTCAGAAAACTTCACGCTCGTCGGCAATCAACAAGAGTTTTCAGTAGAAACCGCGCCCTTTGATAGACAACGTACCTGATCGCAAGTGCTTCACGCTCGTCGGCAATCATATGATTACCAATAGAGACCGCGCCCTTTGTCAGACAACATACCTCTCGTACTACACGCTCTTCGGCAATCAACATGAAAATAGAGACCGCGCCCTATATCAGACAACGTGAAATGAAATATAACCAAGGAAGTTAAACCTCCCTTATAATAAACACACAAGGTATATAAGACTCGTGTTTGACCATAACAGCACAATACACATTTGACAACAATGCACAGGTAAACCGTGCATTGTCTCTTCTAAAAATTACTTTTACACAACAGTGGGCTAATATTTGAAAAAAAAAAAAAAAAACACTGAGCCGGTCCCCCTCACCACCAACGAAAATGACTATGTTTGCAAAGGTGAAATATATCAAGGTCGGGGTTCCCAATAGAAGTTTGGTAAAATTCTGATTAGTAAATATGTTGTTTTCTTCCCATGACAAAATAGTACTGTAGATCCAATATGGCGCCTGGATAATGCAGCAGGGAGCCGATGGACCACACAAAGAAATCTGGTCATTGTTCATACTGGTTATACTTACTAATATAAACTTAGGGATACACTTAGACCCCATTCATACCAAGGACGTTATATCGGAACCTTGTTGAAGCTCCGTGTTCATATAAATCACTGAACGGATAGAAAACTAAAAAAAAAACATTCACCCAATAGTAGTTTGCTAGACATTCCGTTTACAACAAAAGAAGTTCTCGATGGTTTAAACAATTAAAATCTGGAAAAGCCTGTGGAATAGATTCTATTTCTAACGACATGCTAAAACACGTAACATACTCAAGACAATTATGTTTATCATTGGTAACCCTTTTTAATACCGAATGCACTTTTCCGTCTAACTGAAACACCTAACTCAAATTTTTAAATCAGGTGACAAGTCCTACGTTTATAATTACAGAGGAATCGCTCTATCTAGTTGTCTGTCGAAATTGGCCACTCGTCTTTTGAATACCAGACTACAAAACTTTATAGAAAACAATAATCTGTTAGCCGAAACACAGTTTGGTTTTAGAAAGAAGTACCGAACCGCCGACAATGTCTTTATTCTAAAATCCCTTATTGAAAAATATACACAGAAAAGAAAGGTAAAGTGTTTTTTTTGTTGTTATAAAAAAGCATTTGACTCCATGTGGCGTGATAGATTGTTCTACAAATTGTTAAAATATGGCATCGGGGGAAACTTTTTTTAATATACTGAAATCTATCTACTACTAGATCGATACCACTTTATATATATATTTCTTTTTTAGCATTGTATACCTTAGATTTGATGTTAGCCTTTGTTTATTATTGTTGTTGTAATTTCTCTCTAGTACATTGTATTTTGTACATCAGTGCATTAATCCCCCGGGGAATGAACATGCAATAAAGTTTTATTATGTTAATTATGCAGTTAGATTAGAGAATGGCTTATCAGATACCTTCGTATCAACTTGTGGTGTAAGACAATTTTGTAACCTTAGCCCGATGTTATTTAACCTATTCATCACATCAATGACCTACCGCAATGCTTTGATCATGACAAGTGTGACGCCGCTACATTAACATCTAAAGCTATGTTTATCTTGGGCTGACGATCTTGCCTTGATTTCTTTATCAAAGCATGGTCTTCAGCAATGCATAAATTCCCTGGAAACATACTGTAGTAATTGGAAATTAACTGTTAACGTCTCCAAAACAAAAGCTATTGTCTTCGCTAAAGGTGTTACAAAGAAAATGTCAAAAGAATTCTCCATCTATAATAGAGAAACAGAAGCTACGGATAGTTATACCACCTTGGTATCCCCTTTACGTCCTCAGGTAAATTTAAAACAGCCAGAAAGTTCTTAAAAACCAAAGATATGAGAGCAATATTCAAATTAAAAATACTTTTGTCATCGGAAAACATTTCCATCAAGCTAGGTAAAAATCTTTTTGATAAATTTGTAAAAAAAAACTAATAGTAGTAGTAGTAGTAGTAGTAGTAGTAGTAGTAGTAGTAAGCCTTTATTTAATCTCGAATGCTTGTTCGGTACATACCGCTTTTCAACAAGATCGAGGGTGAGGTTGTATGGATGTGAGTTAACATGCTTTGACCAATACAATATAATATTATACATAATAATATTGCTTTGACCAAACCTCAAAATCACTTAACCTTATTGTGTCCAAAAACATTCCTGTGTCTTAAAATATTTTCTCTTTTTTTTACGCAACTCCAAATTGATAATGGTAACATTCCAGTTTTGATTCGAAAGAGCACTTGCACTGATCTAACTCATACTTATATCATTAACTTTGAAAGAAGAAGAGACAAAAACATGATTCTGAGATAGGCGTCTGGATTTAATCTAGAAAAGGATAATTTTTTCAATCAATAACATACGCCTCTTTTAAGCCATACCAGAATTTGATATTATTGACATTCGTTTTCAAAAATTTCTTCTTGGAGTCCATTCAAAATCATCCAATGACGCTGTACAAGGAGAATTTTGAGGATCTTTCCCCATTATGATATATGCTAAAATTCTACTCATTAAATACTGGCACCGTTTGATAAACTTACCTAGTATTCTATTCACTAACTTTTAATGTAACGCTGATTTCCTCTACCATCCAATCTAGATGTCTAGATGCCTTGTCTTTGTGTTGCGTTGCCTGGTACCTACAACGTTTTTAGATAGTAATTCGATGTTTAGGTAGATTTCAGGTGGGATCGTTGTTTTCTAACTAGCATTTCCCCTCGCTCTTCTTACAAACGGACTTTGAAAACATACGTGAATCTCTCAAATCGCGCACTTGCGAAACAATAAACATGTATGGTGACCTCTCATTGTTTGGCAGTACTTGCGACGAGTGACATGTGCAGATCCGTAAATTCGCGTACACATAGGTAATGGACCTATCATATTATTACTTCACAGTTTGTTTCGCAATGAATGCCATTCAATCGACGTTTATATTGTACAGGGGTGCGTAGCGCGGTGTGTTTTTGCGTAGCATTAGCCTGATCTAGAAATTTGTGAAGGGGGGGGACCACCTGACGTGGCCGAAGGCCTGTGCGGGGGGAGAGCACGAGAAGGGGTAAGCACCCCACTCGTTGGGGGGGGGGGGGTTGTAGTCTCTCTTGTGTATTTTAGAGTCATTTCTGAGCAAATAACCAACGATCTAATACTGATGTTTTCAGTATGTGCCTGTCGGTACATTTTACGAGAAAATAGAATATTGAAACTGCATCTATGTTTAGGACGACTAAATTTCATGAAACAGAGTTCGCGATGGATTTTAGTTAGCGAAAAAAAGAACCATGCCGCCTCTTTATAGACCGGATCACTTAAATCGTTTTCCGATCGCGGGGAACGCGCGGTCACAACATCGCAGCACTCAAATACACTAACGGATAACACTAATCTGATGACATGTGAAATAACGGCCGTGGCGACGGAGCGCCGGGCACGTGTTTACCATTTTCAAGAGTTCACAAAATTTCTAGGAGAATACGAAATTCCGGAGCGCCGGATGTCAGCCGACATTGAATGGGGCCACCTTGCCTGCTGTAACCTGACCGGACCACGGAAAAGTTAGCTCGGCGTAGTTTATCAAAAATTCGATTGACCGCCCATCGGAGAGCAACGATTATCGAGGCGGAGACGTGAGCCTGTGCGACCGAATTTAAAATTTGATGCAAACCAAAACAAGAACGAGGGGCTACTGGGACTTACAATTCTGAACGGGAAAGAGCGAAAAGGTTTTAAAAAACCTCGTAAACTACTGCTTATGTCACAAAATCAAAGGAATAAAAACTTTCCTC